CTGATAAGTTCCTTTTAACATAAAATGAATACTACATACGCCTGAATACATGTAGATGGTAATAAGATCAAATTAACATCAGTGTATAACGAGTCTCGGGATCGCAGTAAACCACTCCCGAATGACATTCTACCTAATTGCATTCCTCCGGACTGCTTTGGTCGAGTGTCACTGTTTATCAAAAACAACATCTCGTTATCCATTTGTCATTTCGTTCCCGAAAATTCAAGGTTGAATATTAACAATTGCTTAAGTTAAAATAATATTCGTTAAAGTTAAATATTCATGTTAAAAACCCAATTAAACATATTTGCTTATTCATTGAAGTTCTTACCAAGTTAGTAATACTCTTATGGATAATTAACATCCGACAGCGCTCACACAGTACGTTGATTTCTATCCATCAGTCATATCAGTATCAGTACACGTGTAGTGGCGTGTGTATATCTAACTTTGTCATCAGCTGTTTCACAGCTTAACAAAGAGTTTCGATGCCATAGGTATTCTCGAATATCTATAGAAATATGAAATCGTTTGATAGAATATTCAACATAATTAATCAAGAAACGTGTTTATACTGGTAAATTTGAATATTTTAATATTTGTAGTTGACCACTGTCCACTGTCTGTCAATCTTGTCACGCGCTACCATAACTTACATCAACATATTCCGGCATTAAGTAGATAAGTATCTGTCGTGTATATCCTTCCCTCTACATGACATTACATCATATTTACATTTGCTGATGATAGAAATAAGTGTGATGAATAATCCAATAAATAACAGCCTGCGAGTGACCGCGATGACATCAGTATTGAAGGCATAAGAATGGCAACGGTCACTGTCAGAAAAAAAAATGTTCCGACTGTTATCAATGAATAGTTATTGATTAAGATAAAATCATAATCATAAGTTTGCTTCAAATACGCCAATTATTGAATGAAGATTTACATTTTTAAACATTTTAAAAGCGTTTATAATGTGATAATTTAATGAACTATAGTGCGAACATGTACAGCTACATGTAAAGATGTGAAATTTCTATTTTCATCATCAGAAAACACGGCATTACTAACATTGTATATGAAACAGAAGACGCATATCCTTCTTGAACATCTGGCGATGTTCTCTCTGCTCTTGTCAAAGGATTTTGTACAACTTTGTATATATAACCTATCTTGCCATCGTTTTGTTGTTGTTTTTTAGTTAGAACGAATATTTTGTCTGCATGTTTTTTCTCGATGAAACAGCAACAGTCTTTTTGTGGCATTTATGGTCGATATAATTGACAAAACCTTACTGGCAAACGGCATATTGTGTGTTACTGTCATAGGTAACAAAATCAGAGAGTATTCGAATGAATCCCGTTTTTGCGTGCAACTAGGAACGTTTTGTCCGTAATACAATAGATTTGTTAAGGATTTTAAAAGGAGAAGGACATCATGGCTAAACTGCAGAACCTTGAAAAATATAGCAAAGGTGTCTACACTCATATTTGACTGGTTTTCTGTTCAATCTGTCAAAAGAAAACTACAGTCTACGCTAAGTTCTCACAAATATTTAGTTAGGGACAGTTAATCTTGTACACCATTGGTAAACGCGCTACACAGAATATAGTGTTTTTGGATTATAAGATATTTAATATTGTAAGACATTGAACATCTATAGACTATTGATATTTCGCATACCTTATCTGGACGTGTTCATAAATCATATAAATTCTCTGTCACTACCGCATCTTCCTTACCCTATAATTAAAATATGTATCTTAACGTAATTCTTGTCTCTAAGGTAAATACTTTCCCATTATTGATAATAAAACCACAAGAAAAATAGACATAAAAAGGGGTTTTGTGTGAAGTTCAAAATGTTCCAGGGATATTTTGAATTTTCACAGAAATCACGCGATATTTCAAAATATAGATATTTAAAGTTGAGTTAAGAAGAAGTCATTAAAACGGAAAACACACGATATTTCATGTATGTTTCTTGTTTTTAGGCGGAGATGTAGATCAAATCGTATCAGAATGCTTGGCATGATGCGAAAATGATGCAAAAATGATTCTTTCACAAAAAGGAAGAATATAAAGTCATGAGTCTTAATCGAATATCGCCTTACTGTTAGTCCGGATGTTTGTGAATTTGAGTAAGTCTATAATCAACATTTGGAAAGATATTAGGCTACTAGAAGCGTCCCATACTCCTCGTGACAAAGAGCCTCGACATGCTACATGTGTAAAGGTAACCCCGGAGTAAAGATGGACATAACGAGTTCTAAACGTCGTCACGTGCAAGAGAGGCACGTTCAGGTAAGCTGATACACGACTTTTCAGTTTAAATGTATATAGATATTGAAAAGTTACTTCAGTATTGTAATATTTACTAACGAAAGCTCACTCTGTCCACAGGGCTGGTGGGCGTCATTTCATGATTGGATTTTGACGAAATTCATGGAAATATCCATGGGCGATAGGAATTCGATTTTGTAAGGCGGGTTAGAGTAATGAAGGTTATACAGGTTAATCGTCAAAATCCTTCTCCTTATTTTGATGAAAATGCACTTTTACCAAATGAGGCAAACTTTGGATAAATTGAATCAACACAACCCAACCCTCTCTTTCCTGATGGTGAAGGTAAAACGTTCAAATTTGGTCTGGACCATCTTTTTGCGAAAAGGATAATTTAGGGAATCAAATCGTGTGTTAATGACTGGACTGGACTATCCTCTATATCATCTAGTATTTTAGGAGGATTTTTACCGATTTGTTACACACATATTAATACATAAGCATAGGAACTATTTAGAATGAAATGCGAATAATTGGTTACTTCATCGGAAATCTGACAACGGAGCTACAACTGTCCACTCGGCATCTTGTATCTTAGTTCATTATCAATATTGTATGAAAATTTAAAAGAGGTTTAAAAATCCACCGAACCAATGAAACTGATGGTTTTAAAAAAATTGTAATACTTTTTAAAAATCCGATATATCCAGCATGCGTTAGGGAGTTTATTGTAGTTAAGACTATGTTTATAATATATATTACCGAACACCACATTGATCACAGTTACCCGTATACGTGTTATATACAGGTTTTATTTTCAGGTTCATCTGCATGTGGACATTAAAAGATGATTTAACTATATATCATACATCGCACTTTTCTTTGTAACCTTGTGCTGACCGATTATATCGTCACATTACTTGTGCTCCAAATTTGATTTGAGCTCTTTTTCCGTTTAGTTGTCATTTTCCTAAGATTTTTCTCCCTTCTTTATACAGTTTTAAAGCTGATCACCGAATGGAAAAGTCAACTTAGGGACGTATATTACGTCCTTGCGCAAACATAACAATACTTTATTCCAAAATGTTCTTTTAGCGCAATATCATTTTTGCGTTCCCGACTTTTGATGAAATGCGTTTGTAAAAAAATGTTACTCATGGACAATAATGTGTTTAATTTTCCATTAAAGGTGATAAGTAATACGAGAGTAAATTATGTTATTGCACCCACAGGTTTGAATGTTGTCAGTTTGGAATTCAGGGGACATAGCTCTTTGTTATTTTTCTATAACCGAGTTCCGGCTCTGATATTAGTCTCTACCTACTTTCACTTCACGGGAGACATGCACACGTATACGTTACAGTATAAAGGTATGATGCTTTCGTACGTAGTTTATATATATATATATATTAATGACAAATTTCTGAAGTTTATCATATGATATCTACATTATGCGTCTTGTTGTGGCTAATGTAGGCTTAAGACCTAGCGTTCTTAATAACGTGTTCGGCAATACAGTAGATGTATCCACACACGTAGGCCTTGTCTATTGTACAGGTCCCTGATATCTTGTCACGTGTGTATATGAACATATTCCGGGATATTTATAACATTTTAGTAGTTTTGAGTTAAGACAGTATATACAATAGACCTAGCGGCTAGCCCCAACAAAGCGTCTAAATGTATGTTATAAATATGAATGAGTCCAGTTACATATAATCCACCTATAGTAAGGTTCTCATGCCCCTGTGTACTGTAAACTTTATTGATCATTAAGTACAGCCTGAATTTTACTTGTAGAAATTAGCTCTACACATGGTAGGAAAGGGATTCTGAAATTTCCTCGGTTTTAAAGGCATCGTTTCATATTAAATTAATTAAGACTTCCCTTACTATTTTGTATTTCAGATTGAAGATATGTTTCAGTAAATGTGCTGTCATCCAAGACACTGAATATAGTGATAACTAACATGTGTATTCTAGATCTTGTCACTGAGATACACTTCTATGGCTGGTGGGCCATAACTGTTATTCAGAAACAATTCAATGTAAGTATATTAATAGCCTGTCAATTCAGCATCACTTAATATTTTCTGCTAAAGATGAGGGCTCTAATTTGTGGTCAAACCAGATCTCTGACATACAATCCAGGTACCTGTATTTTATGAGGGGAATACTTAGGAAAATTAATGAAGGAGGAACATATAACTAGATGGTAGAGCCAGAATAGTGATGGCTAAATAGTGAGACAACCAGTGTAGTAAGACAATCAGATTAGTGTTGACTTGGTAGTGGGACAAACAAATTAGTGGTATCTGGGTAGTGTGACAAACAGATTAGTGGTATCTGGTAGTGGGACAAACAAATTAGTGGTATCTGGGTAGTGGGACAGTCAGATTAGTGGTGTCTGGGTAGTGGGACAGTCAGATTAGTGGTGTCTGGGTAGTGGGACAAACAAATTAGTGGTATCTGGGTAGTGGGACAGTCAGATTAGTGGTATCTGGGTAGTGGGACAGTCAGATTAGTGGTGTCTGGGTAGTGGGACAGTCAGATTAGTGGTATCTGGGTAGTGGGACAGTCAGATTAGTGGTATCTGGGTAGTGGGACAGTCAGATTAGTGGTATCTGGGTAGTGGGACAAACAAATCAGTGGTATCTGGGTAGTGGGACAAACAAATTAGTGGTATCTGGGTAGTGGGACAGTCAGATTAGTGGTATCTGGGTAGTGGGACAGTCAGATTAGTGGTGTCTGGGTAGTGGGACAGTCAGATTAGTGGTGTCTGGGTAGTGGGACAAACAGATTAGTGGTGTCTGGGTAGTGGGACAGTCAAATTAGTGGTGTCTGGGTAGTGGGACAGTCAGATTAGTGGTGTCTGGGTAGTGGGACAGTCAGATTAGTGGTGTCTGTGTAGTGGGACAAACAGATTAGTGGTGTATGGGTAATGTGACAAACAGATTAGTGGTGTATGGGTAGTGGAACAGACAGATTAGTGGTGTATGGGTAGTGTGACAAACAGATTAGTGGTGTATGGGTAGTGGGACAAACAGAATAGTGGTGTATGGGTAGTGGGACAAACAGATCAGTAGTGGCTGGGTTGTGGGACAATCAGTGTTGTAAGACAAACAGATCAGGAGTGGCTGGGCTGTGGGACAAATAGGTTAGTGGTGGCTAGGTTGTGGGACAATCAGATAAGTTCTAGATGGGAAGTTTGACAACTAAGTTTGTGAAAGTGGGACAAACAGAATAGTGTTGACTTGGTAGTGGGACAAATAGTTTAGTGGTGTCTTGGTAGTGGGACAAACAGATTAGTGTTGACCTGGTAGTGAGACATCCAAATTACTTAGTAACATAATATCTATGTGTGAATTCACTTCAATTCATATAAGTCACCTTGATGTATAATTGTTAACTGTAAAGAAAAGAAATTATTATATAAGGTGATTTTTTTTATTTGTTGTCACTTGAGTTGCACTAGAAAGCATGATCTGTTTATTCAATCCTAAGCACTTATCTATCATTTCTCCTAATGAAAGTTATACATGTGGTTGCTAATATGACTATTTTCAGAAATACTCGGAATGGATGCTGTTTCTGAATAAACTTGGAGACCCTCGCTATGCATTCCTTATCTACTTTCCTGTTACCTTCTGTCTCAGCAAAACAAGAGGAACACAGGTGTTGTGGGTTGCCTGTGTTGCGGAGTGGCTGAATGCATTTTTAAAGCTGTAAGCTTTGCCTTATTATGAGAAGATCCAATGCTTTAATTGTATAAATACATCAATTATCACAATACATTTACATATTGATAGAGAAACAATAAGTGTGTGGTGTACTTCTTATTTCCTTCAACATTTGTTCTCAACTAGGCTGCAATATCTCAGTTAGTAGAGCTTTGATCTACATTACCCCCAGGTAAAGATCAAAGGAACATGATTTGATGTTACCTAACTGGCAGTTTGTGTTTGTTAGGAAGCTGAGAAACAGGCTAGTCTGTGCTGTTATGTGTCGTAGGGCTAGACACCATTGTTGCTATGGATGGCATGCAACATGCCTTCTGTTATGTTGTTGTAGCCACCAGCTTCTTCAAGAAGGCCATGTCTCTAAATGAACTATTAATGGGGAGATAAACCATGCCAACACACCTGAAGTAAACTTGTTCTGTGTTTCTATTTATGATGTTCTTTAGTTACTATATACAGAGATACTTGCAGTGCAATATAGCTTTGTACCCTGTGGTCAACAAGATGAGTAGAATTAAAATGTTTAAGCTGAAAAATATTCTTTTGATGTAAACATTTTAAATCAAATTCCATACCAGGCAAGAGAGTGCACAACTTTATCTAAGGTTGTTAAAAAGAAAATGCCTGGTAGGTAAATGTTTTCTCACATAAAGTTTTTTATGTCTTATGTAACAGGTAATGTGTACTGTTGGATGAAATATTTTAATTCCAAAGGAAGAACGAAAAAATTCCTTTTTTCTTTCAATTAAAGATGATTCAAGGACATTTGTAGAATGTTAATTGCTACCAGGGGAGAGTTATTAGGGAAGGGTGAAAATAAAGAAAACAAAGGTAACTTACTACTTATATACAACTAACAGGGGGGAAGGAGCCAACGTCGGTCCGGTAAGTAAGGAGGGGTCCTTAGCTGGGTAGATCACTGGAAGATGAATACCAGAAGGTATGCCGGGAGTCACTCAATAGTATAATTAAAACATCTTAGGTAGAAGTGTACTCAACATCAACCAGCTTCAAAAAATTAGGTAGGTAGAATACTTTTATTATTTGCCGACCGGTTTCGCCAGTTAAGTAGAAGTGTACTCAACATCAACCAGCTTCAAAAAATTAGGTTAACTGGCGAAACCGGTCGGCAAATAATAAAAGTATTCTACCTACCTAATTTTTTGAAGCTGGTTGATGTTGAGTACACTTCTACCTAAGATGTTTTAAATACAACTAAATAGATGTTGATCCGACTGAGCACAGAAAACAGCTGGGCCAAGGTAATTGAATTTTGTATACATGTACAGAAAGATGAATTAAATTTTATGTACAGAAAATAACTGAGTCATGACGATTAAACTTGCACATTGTGTAAGAGAAAAAATTTCATCACATTCAAATAGTTAATAGAATACCCACAATGCAAAGGTGTTCGTTTTTTTCTTTCTTCTTTAATGTAAACGATGAATGCTTCTTCAATGGAAACAGAGGATTGAAATAGGAGATAGCAAAAATTAAAATACCTTCATGGATGTCTCTACTTTAGATTAGGTTAGGGCGTATGTGTCTAAATCTGAAATAATTGACCTAGTCATTAAAGCCATGTGTCTTCTGTAATATATGTGTAGTCTTTGCATGGGGTCTAGTGTCTACTGTATGATGTCTCTTATCTTCTTATGATATCTAGTGTCTTCTGAATGATGTCAGAAATTTGTTTACCTCTTTTGCCTTCTGTTTGTCTTGTGTCTACTACTTGATGGCTAGTGTCTAGAATATTATGTCTAGAATTTACTGCATAATGTTCAGTATCTACTGAATGATGTCAAGATCTGTTTGCTTCTGTTTTCAAAAGCATGATGTCTAATGTTTACTATCTTATGCCTGGGAGTCTAGTGTCCACTGTATGAAGTCTAGTGTCTACTGTATTGATGTCTAGTGTCTACTGTATGATGTCAAGTGTCCACTGTATGATGTCAAGTGTCTACTGTATGATGTCTAGTGTCTACTGTATGATGTCTAGTGTCCACTGTATGATGTCTAGTGTCCACTGTATGGTGTCTAGTGTCTACTGTATGATGTCTAGTGTCCACTGTTTGATGTCAAGTGTCCACTGTATGATGTCTAGTGTTAACTGTAAGATGTCCAGTGTTAACTGTAAGATGTCCAGTGTTAACTGTAAGATGTCTAGTGTTAACTGTATGATGTCTAGTGTTAACAGTATGATGTCTAGTGTTAACAGTATGATGTCTAGTGTTAACTGTAAGATGTCCAGTGTTAACTGTATGATGTCTAGTGTTAACTGTATGATGTCTAGTGTTAACAGTATGATGTCTAGTGTTAACTGTAAGATGTCCAGTGTTAACTGTATGATGTCTAGTGTTAACAGTATGATGTCCAATATCCACTACTGAGGTAATGATGTGTTGTGTTCTCTTCATAATGTCTTATGTTTCTTTGTAATATCTGTTGTCTACTGTATGATCTTTAGAATTTACTGCATTATTACTAATATTTACTGTGTGATTACTAATATTTGCTGTGAGATTACTAATATTTACTGTGTGATGACTAGTGTTTGCTGTGTTATGCTGTTGATTACCTTTCTAGTATCCTCCATGGTGATCGACCTTACTGGTGGGCTGGAGAGAAATTCAACAACCTTGAAAAGGAAAACTTGGATGCCATGCTTCCTACACAATATCACCTCACCTGTGAAACAGGACCAGGTATGTAACAAAATTATATCTCACTTGTGAAATAGGACCATGTATGTACACAAAATAATATCTCACCTGTGAAATAGGACCAGGTATGTACACAAAATTATATCTCACGTGTGAAACAGGACCAGGTATGTACACAAAATTATATCTCACCTGTGAAAGGGACCAGGTATGTACACAAAATTATATCTCACCTGTGAAACAGGACCAGGTATGTACACAAAATTATATCTCACCTATGAAACAGGACCAGATATGTACACAAAATTATATCTCACCTATGAAACAGGACCAGGTATGTACACAAAATTATATCTCACCTGTGAAAGGGACCAGGTATGTACACAAAATTATATCTCACCTGTGAAAGGGACCAGGTATGTACACAAAATTATATCTCACCTGTGAAACAGGACCAGGTATGTACACAAAATTATATCTCACCTATGAAACAGGACCAGATATGTACACAAAATTATATCTCACCTGTGAAACAGGACCAGGTATGTACACAAAATTATATCTCACCTGTGAAAGGGACCAGGTATGTACACAAAATTATATCTCACCTGTGAAACAGGACCAGGTATGACACAAAATTATATCTCACCTATGAAACAGGACCAGATATGTACACAAAATTATATCTCACCTGTGAAACAGGACCAGGTATGTACACAAAATTATATCTCACCTGTGAAAGGGACCAGGTATGTACACAAAATTATATCTCACCTGTGAAACAGGACCAGGTATGTACACAAAATTATATCTCACCTGTGAAACAGGACCAGATATGTACACAAAATTATATCTCACCTGTGAAACAGGACCAGGTATGTACACAAAATTATATCTCACCTGTGACACAGAACAAGGTTTGTACACAATATATCTGATCTGTGAAACAAAGCAGATATGAATACAAAATTATTCATGTACTTCTTTTGTGAAACAAGACCATGTAGGTATGCAATATTACATCTTGCCAACGGACCTAAGTATGTGCACCGTATAACATCTCACCTGGAAAATAGGATCAGGCATGATCACAATACTTTTTATGTACTTAATTTGTAAATGAGGACCAGGTCAGTTCACAATAGTATGCCTTACCTGGGAAACAAATTGTACCAAGTCTGTACATTGTGTTATTCATGTGCTTCACTCGTGAAACAGGACCTGATAAGTTCACAATATTATATCTCATCTGTGAAACAGGACCAGGTATGTACACAATATTGCATCTCACCTGTGAAGCAGGACCAGGTGTGTATAAAAAATAATATCTCACCTGTGAAACAGGACCAGGTATGTACACAAAATTATATCTCACCTGTGAAACAGGACCAGGTGCAACATATCCATCAAACAAATTGACCTAGTTATTTGGATAAGGATATAATTAAACATTTGGATAACAATTGGCTATGAGTTAATCATGAATGTATGTAATTCACACAGGAATACTATAAAGAATCCCCAGATTTACTGTTGTACTTATACATTTACAAAACTTGATGAGAAAAATCTCTAGATGGAGAAATTCTCCAAGAATCCAACCAAGTTTTTATGTGTAAGGTGTAAGGGGGATCCCTATCAGATACAGACACTACTTCTGAAATAACAAATAAACAGGAAGGAGTCACAACTCCCAAAGCCAGGCTTCCAGGCAGTCTTATCCGCTCTCTTATAGAGCCGGGCTTCCAGGCGGTCTTATCCGCTCTCTTACAGAGCCGGGCTTCCAGGCGGTCTTATCCGCTCTCTTACAGAGCCGAGCTTCCAGACGGTCTTATCCGCTCTCTTACAGAGCCGGGCTTCCAGGCGGTCTTATCCGCTCTCTTACAGAGCCGGGCTTCCAGGCGGTCTTATCCGCTCTCTTTTAGAGCCGGGCTTCCAGGCAGTCTTATCCACTCTCTTATAGAGCCGATTGCTGGTAATGATAAGGTACCAGGCTCCAGAAGAAAGTAGAGTACACTGTTTGGAAACCTGGCTTCAGGAGTTTCTCCTTTTCTATTCCTTAAACTTGTATACATTTAACTATGAAACCAACATGATCGAGCGCCTTGTAATTATTACTAACACTTGTATTTTAGGAAGCCCCTCTGGACATGCCATGGTGACATCGGCTGTATTTTATGTCCTTGTAAAGGCAATATTGGATTCCAGATTGAAACTACAAAGGTACATAACCAGTAAGCTTAATCCTTGTCATACTTTTTGTATTTGTTTTATGAAATCTGCAAACTAGAAATAATTATCAGATTTTTCAAAATTGATCATAATGAGTAACAAGAAAAGGAATAATTTAATTGTACTTGAGTAATATGTTAAATTCTCTCTACACTGTGTTAACTGATGATGTGTGTCGGATGTTCCATTGCTGTGCACACCTGTCTGTGTTGTATGTCATTCTGAACTGATGAGCTGCAAGGCTAAAAGTAATAAAGAATTGGATTGTTTTGAACATGGTCACAAGCCAGGCTTGGATCAGTTTTGTTTGTGAAAAGAAATATTTTAGCGTTTGGATAAAAAGGTGATGAATTATTCATAATATCTGTTCTTTATAACTTCATTATCATCTCAAACTGTATAAACAAAAAAGACTCAAAATTTCAATTGTCAGTTAAGTATATTTAATATGTAGTTAAAGAGTCATGTGTAGTAATTTTTCAAAGTTTTAGTTTATTAGCACATGTATAATAATCACTGTGTTATAAAGCCTGAATTTTGTCTCAGCAGAATATTGCGGGTGGCAGTATGGTCGAGTTTTGCTGTAGTTATCTTTGCAGTGAACATTTCTCGTGTTTTCATAGCAACTCATTTCCCTCATCAAGTTATTATCGGCACTTTGATAGGTAAATCTGTTTAACTTCATTCATTGTGTAAATATTCCAGCACATGTACTGTAAACATGTTTATTCTATGTATAATACTATTTTAACACTTTTCTTGCTGTAAGTATTGAGTAAATGAGAATGTACTAATTGCAATTTAAGTATGTCCTCACAAAGCATTGATTAATGATAAACTAATTGGTCACTGAGCTTACTTGTCAAAAAGGGATCATGGGTTAAAATATATATCATTGCACCAAATTAATTACATTTACAGTATCAAGAAATCTCAATATCTGTCAAACAAACCATGTTATATTACATGAATCAAAAAGGGTTGGAACCTGCTTGTTTACATTTTTAAAGTGATTTAAAAAAATAATAAACACTAATGTGGAATTTGTTAAATCAGCAATATATGATAGAATATTATAGATATAAGTTCACATTAATTACAATATTAGAAAAAGGGCATGTCAACAGCATGTTCAGAAATATGAACTGTATCTATTTCAAAATCTTACAGGAATGGGAATAGGGAATATGATTAAAGTGGATGTTGTTTCAAGGTTCCATAGCAAACATTACCTATTGGGAACAGTGGTAGCTATGGGAGTATGTATGTTGACATACAGTGCCCTGTTGTTGCTAGGATATGACCCACTGTGGTCTATTCCAATGGCCTACAAATGGTGTGCTTCATCCACATGGGTCCATCCCGACACCACACTGTTCTTTGCTGTCGTCAGGGACATCTCTTGTTTGGCAGGTACGTACAGGAAATATGTCTCTATGTTTGTGAACTTTTCTGCCACTATAATCATATTAACATAAGACCAGGTCTCAAGTATAATGTGATTCAAATGTAACATAAATAATTATTGATACTGTTATACTGGTCTGTGTTAGGGTGCATTTTTTCATGCCAACTGTTACTAATAGGGCAACATCTTTTTCAAAACTGACATTTAAGTGTTGTCAAACAAACATTACTTCATAGTCGTATTTTGCTGATTGCAGGATTTGGATTCAATGTCAAAGTCCTTGGGAAAATATCACTGGAAGAGAAGCCAAGGGCATTTTACAGCTTATCTAAAGTATTACAGATCATTTTAAGTTTGTGTGTGACTTTGATGATGGAAACTATCAAGCTTTCAAGGGACACCGATGCAATATTTTATGGAGGAGCTTTCATCAAATTTTTCTGCATGATGTCAATCCTGGTGATCTTAATACCTGTAATCTTTGACAAATGCTTTACGGTATCTGTTGAGGAAAAAAAAGACTAATACTTGTGAATAACTGTTATACTTCCTTTTATTACCATGGTAACTATCTGCACAAAACTGATTCAGTTAATTGCGGTTGTTGACATGGAGTTGGAGGTACTTTTTTCAAATATTTATTTTTACATTTGTTTTCCTCATCATTGTGAGTTTACACAGCATCTAGTTTCTTTGTATAAAATGTATGTCATTGATATGACCATTCTTGGAGGACCAATAAATTAAAGACAAAAGGCAAGGAGTGAGTGAGAGTTTATGAAAAAAAGTGAACAAGTAAGAAGTCCTTAGTCTTGTCTCTATCGTGCAGTCTCAGGACAAAATATTCTAATTAACGAACTTTGAATCAAATTTTCTTGTTCCTATCTTGCACTTTCATATTGACATTTACATGTTAATATTAAAGATTTGAGTGTATTTTGTATTTACATGCTGTAATCTTGAATTGTCTCCACTGGAGCACAAAAACAACAGCGCTAGACAGAGATAATATTGGAATTAGCTATGTAACCTTCTTCAGGTATATAAAAATTCTAAATTTGTTCCTAACTCCTTGTAAAACAGAATGACAGATATGGCCTTGGGAAGCAGCTTTCGTGATAGAAGAACAGATGAAGACATGCAAACCTCATGTCTCCTTTGATCATATGAAATATTATTTGACAAGAATGTATCCTGCCAATTTCCTATATACAGATAACAAGTACAAATAAAATACTGGTGGTCACTTGTAAATAAACATACATCAAATTCCAAAATGTGTTTAACACATGAAGTCCCCACTTCCATCCTATTGATACAGAACAGATAGGACAAAATACCACGGTCGTATATAAAAACACACTTACAATGGCACCGGTATATATGTATATACTTCCATGAAAATTTCAAATACATATATTTAACCAAAACCAATTGCCCTTAATCATTATATGTACATGTAGGACAATGTGATGAAAGTTATAAGTCTCTTAAAGGTGTTTGTCCATCGTTTTAACAGACTGTAAAATGAAATGTCTGAGGTGGTCCCATACTCATCTTTACAGTCAAGAAATGATTATCACACATTTCAAGCACCATTACAGAGAAAATAAACACAGAAACATTCTCCTCATATCTACTTTGAATGTATATTAGATACATAATCCAGATACTGTTCAGATACAACCTTCACTTGTCCTGAAGTTTGAAAGTATTTGAGATTTTCTTGATTTCAGTTTTAATTAAAAAAGGACAGATTTCGTTGATCTATTTAATGGGAATTAGTTTTATTTGCAGCACCAATGAACAATTGTACCACAAAACAATCTAAATGGCTTCAAACCACAAAGACAAACAAATTTGTGGATTTACAACTCCCACTTTTATTGGTTCCTTAAGCTAAAATTTCTTTAAATGTTGGTAAGATCATCTTTAAACAGAATGTCCTTGTAATTCATTGACATTTAGCAAAGTTTTAGCATGAAAATCTATAGGCCAATCAGAAGCTTGATACCTTTACATTTAGCAAATTATTGACAGAAACCTATTGGCCAATCAGAAATGAAGTACTTTTTTTAATCATGCATAAACCTCAATTAATGACATTTTATTCAGAAATGAAGTGTTATCAAGACACATGCAAACCAAAACTGATAAAAATCCGTTTACATTTATCCATCCTCGATATTCCAGGGGTTACAATCACTTTCACTCTCTGCACCCCTGGAACCATCCTCGATACTCCATGGGTTACAATCACTTTCACTCTCTGTACTCCTGGAACCATCCTCGATACTCCATGGGTTACAATCACTTTCACTCTCTGTACTCCTGGAACCATCCTCGATACTCCATGGGTTACAATCACTTTCACTCTCTGTACTCCTGGAACCATCCTCGATACTCCATGGGTTACAATCACTTTCACTCTCTGTACTCCTGGAACCATCCTCGATACTCCATGGGTTACAATCACTTTCACTCTCTGTACTCCTGGAACCATCCTCGATACTCCATGGGTAACAATCACTTTCACTCTCTGTACTCCTGGAACCATCCTCGATACTCCATGGGTTACAATCACTTTCACTCTCTGCACCCCTGGAACCATCCTCGATACTCCATGGGTTACAATCACTTTCACTCTCTGTACTCCTGGAACCATCCTCGATACTCCATGGGTTACAATCACTTTCACTCTCTGTACCCCTGGAACCATCCTCGATACTCCATGGGTTACAATCACTTTCACTCTCTGTACTCCTGGAACCATCCTCGATATTCCAGGGGTTACAATCACTTTCACTCTCTGTACTCCTGGAACCATCCTCGATACTCCATGGGTTACAATCACTTTCACTCTCTGTACCCCTGGAACCATCCTCGATACTCCATGGGTTACAATCACTTTCACTCTCTGTACTCATGGAACCATCCTCGATATTCCAGGGGTTACGATCACTTTCACTCTCTGCACCCCTGGAACATCTCATGGCAAAATTGAAGGCACATGCAAAGTAATTTGGATCCCATGAGAAACAAGAGGCACATGCGTTTTAACAGTCATCTGACTATAAAGACGTATTTATGAAAGTTGCAAAATAGGCCTAAAATAAATTGCTTAATTATTCTACAGCTTACATGGAACACATTGTTGGTTCATCAAGAAATTTTCTGCAAAATTGAAATCATATTCTTTATACATACAATACATAGTTGCCATTACTTTGGACATATTGCTTGTTGAAAAAGCAAGCCACAGACCCAATATCAAGACCCTAGACTTTTTATTTATAGAAAAGAAGTCATTTCAACATTTCAACACATTGGATACCTGTGACCTTGAAAGTGGTTTAATGTCTTTCATATTAACAAAGATGGTAGCCCTTCATCCTAGCATGCTACAGGCCAAATATCATCATCCTACACCTTTTGGCTATTGAGAAAAAGTCATTTAAATGTTTTAACATATTTGATATGTGACCTTTCAAGTTGATCAAGGTCATTCCCATCCACTAAGTTGTATCAACTTTCTGAATCTAAGAAATGATTCCACACTCCCAGTGATGTTTAGTCTAAATTTGATTGAAATCCATTCAAGCATTAAGAAAGAGTAGCATTTTGAAGCACATCGAACCTTCAATTTTGCAATGACATAATCCAGGGGTGCAGAGAGCAAAAGTGATTGCAACCCCTGCAGTATCGAGGATGACATTTATTATACAAAAACAGTGGGACGGACAGACACACATCCCAAAAATAATATCAAACTTTATCTTTGAAAAGCGAGAGATCTGAAAATATGAATTTACACTACTGTCTTACTCCAATTTCACAAACTTACCTTAACTTGAGAAAAGTTTCAAATGAAAAGTTCAAGTATCACTTGGGTTTAGAAAAAATTCAACACAGCTTTGTGAAAGCTTTTCTTCAGGGTCATAAATAAGACTGGTTATAGTGCCATAGCCCAATTGCAAAATCTTTGTGACATTTTGATAATTACACCTTTGTCCTCGTCAGACAAATGACTAGTAAGTTATATACAATAAGGTGGTAAGTTTTCTATTTGAGACTTTTTCTGAAGGTTTTCCTTAACAGTAGTCTCCATTCTAATGAGAAATCTTAAAGAAACATTTTTATAACTTGAGTAGCAACACCACCAGCGTTCCTCTTACTAGCACTTTCCTGGATAGAAAGTCCAACACTTATTTCAACTCTGTTAAATATTTAATATTTAAAGTAAAAATGTTTATGACATGTTTTAACAAGGAATCTATACACACTTCATAGCTAAAGCTATCAAATCATTATTTTACAACCACAAAATTAACGTAAATACTCATAAACATTTACTGACATGTTTTGTTGAGTGCTGCATACCTAGAACCCAAGATAATTTACCTAAAGAATTACAAACTTTCTTAACCTATACTGCTACAAATTTTGCTAGTTATCAGTTAAAAGGAACACAATCAATGCTCCAAGACCTGTGTTTGTGATAGTGAGATTTCCCAGAATGTATGTAGAATATTGTTCAACAATTCTATACAATATTGAGGTAGGTCTTAAAAGTAAAATAAATGTAAACAATGATCTAGATATTTAAATTAAATTATTCAGGATCAATTTACACCAGCATGCAAATAATCTCGATTCACAGCATGATAATGCAATGTTACTGCTTTTCCATAAGTACAAGACAAACAAATCAAGTTGATGTATTTTGCATGCATTAATGGTTAAGTTAAGACACAGACAGCTCAAACTCTATTTCAACTTTTTTGTTCTTAATCAATAAATCCTCATAGTAATGGTCCAGACGGACTTCAACCTCAGATTGTATGAAAAGGAAGTGAAATATTGCACATGTCCACAACTTTCCTCGTTTATTCCATGATCCACATGTAGATGTATACTGGCCTCAATAATTTATGAACAATGGTGATTATACCATCAAATTATCTGAACTCAGAAACAAGAGACCTATGGGCCTTAATGGTCATTTGGGTTCTATAAATGCTAAGACCCTTTCATGCATAAAGAGTATTTGATTCTACTTTATCTGGATCTTAAAATATATTTTACATCTATGACAATCTTACCAAATTTGGTATCGCCCACCAGCCACTTGGGGCCAGTCTGGGTCAATATGTGCATACTGTCATCTTAAGCTAATAATTCCAACCTAGTTAATTCCGATGGAAAATAAATAAATTATGCTCAAAAATGTCATTTTCCTATAAATATTCTGATAATATTAACCCTCTCCCCTTGGGTAATGAAATTCAAAATTTTGGTTCATCACCTTAAAACTCTTCCATCCATTAAGTGTATTTGATTCTACCATGTAAGGTATTAAAAAGAAGATTTTTGAAATATGAGTCAACTGGACCAGTGCTCATAAAAATGTTTGAAGTTTATGATCCACAATGTCAGACAAAGACTTGGTCAGGCCAGGTGACCAAAAAACATTGCAAGACTTTCCTAGGAAATCGAGTCTAATTCCATACTACTAGCAATCTACTGGAGCCATCATTTTCATTAGTCATAACTATATCTGTACATTTGATATTGGTTTTGTACATGTAACACTAGATGCATGAAGTGGATTAGTCGGAAATATCTTAATAGGCAAGTCCCAGATCATTGTTTCCACATTAAGTGTTGGAGGACCTCTCCAGGAAGCACTCTCATCTGGATTTGTAGGCCGTTCTGACTCTGGAATCGGCTCACAGCATGTGACAAACTCAAAATGCAGGCGCCACCTCAAACACACTGAAATGAAATATAGACAAAACTCTCCTTGATACATGCTTTTGCAATTTTAGGGAATTTCCAAGAGGCCCAACAGGTATGTGTTGTTCACATTATTTCATGCTACTGGGAAACTTATTTCATGTGTGCAACCAAAGAAGCTTGAGAGCCAACAAGCCTTTACTTCAGGTTATCATTACTTTACACCTTATAGACATTTTATGAAAGCTGTTACACTAAAAGTAGGTCAATGTAACATTTGAACAAACTGTCAAGTATGTTGCTCAAAGTCTACACAACCACTGCTGATATTATGCTGACTGTTACAAGCTATCTGTCAAATGTATCTTGCCATTAGCAGTAGATTGTGTGAGTAAGCATCTTTTCCTTACATTACCAAAGTTCTACAACCAGGGAGTATAAGAAAATCAGTGTGAAATTTGAAAGGAAAAACATTAACTTTCTTAAGAATAGTGAAAACAAATTTTACTTTAAAATCTACAAAGGTGGCTACTGGTTGGTAATTGCATATTCCTAATCAGTTCCAAAATTAATGTACATTAAGGGACTAAGGATAGATGAGATACATTTAGTGACCTAAAAACTGAGGTTAAAAGAACCATCACAAAAACCCTATATGAAGATAAGTTACCATTTGTTTAGGACATTTTACACAACAAACACATACCTATGTCTGTGATGAAGGCTGGAGTGGCTGTGAGAGGTACTGGGATGTTAATGTGGGTCTTCTCAGTATGTAGACACATTTCATGGTGTTTCACAAATGATGTCACAGCCGTACCCTGACCTGGCTTACGCCGACACTCCTCGGATATCTGTTCCTCATTTTGAAGTGTTACAGAAAACTGAAAATCAGAGAAAACTATTGCAGGGACACAGGTTTTCTACTTTGTTATTCTTTGCTGTTACTTTTATTTTTCAAATAATGAAAAACAAAAAATAATAAGAGATCCCATGGGGATCTTGGCGCTCACCATTTTTTTTTTATCTTTATATGCTCTTCAAAATTTGGATTTTTCCCCTTCTTTTCTCTTCTCTGTTTTTGGTTTTAATGATAAGACATTTGAATATTCCCCTGCAGAAATAGTGATGATAATCTTAACCTGCCAAATCCAAACTGGCCACCTGGAAGCCATTTTGTTTTTTTCTCCCAAAATCAAATGGCCACAATGAGAGACCAAAGGGAACATACGTATGAAATAAGATATCCAGTCAGTACTTCTTAAGAAATAGCAATAACAATCTTTACAAGGCATAATCCAAGATGGCTGCCTGTCAGTCATTTTGTTTTTTTATCAGACCTACAATCAAATGGGCACAACTAGAGACCAGGGGGAACCTACATATGAAACTTGAGAGAAATAAATCAAGCACTTCTCCAGAAGTAGCTATAGGAAACTTTCAAAGTCAAAATCCAAGATTTGAGCCTGTCAGCCATTTCGTTTTTTATGATCAGACCAACAATCGAACAGGCACAACTAGAGACCAAGAGGAACCTACATATAAAATATGAGAATGCACTATCTCTTGCTTTTCAAAAAATAGCGATAACAAACTTTTTTGATCTGGTCCAAAATCAAATGGCCACAACTGGAGATCAAGGAGAACCTACATCCCTTACTTATCAGGTCCAAAGTCAAATTGGCACAACTAGGGACCAAAGGGAACCTACATATGCAATTTGGGAAAGATCCATCATGTACTTCTCAAGAGATAGTGATAACAAAAATTGTTTATGGACGGACGGACAGACAGACAGACGTAGATCAATTTTAATATGGTGGGCTAATGATGTAAATCTATCCTTGTAATAGAAAATAAGATCATCAATGAACATGTAACCAACTCAATTGTATGCTATTCCTTATAAAACATGACCTTATGTTTGATTACAGATACCACATGTACAGGTGATTTAAAATGTCAAAGTATTAAGCTGACTGTACCTGTACACAGGCAACTGTTCCATCTGTAAAATCAAACGCTCCCACGATATCCTCGCCCAACTTGTAGGCTTGCTTGAATAAAATAAACTTGGCTACATTTCCTTTGGCATTCGTGATATTGTAGGAATCTGAAAAAATGCATGAAAGTTATTTAATGTACAGTGCTAATCATACCTTATTTCCCTGCCTAGAAATGGGACTGATAAACAGTGTTAACGACGTGGAACTCATTACTAGCTTCGGGTATAGTTGTTTGTGAGTATTCGCAAAATTCCCTAGATCTATTTGGTAAAATCTCAATTGAGAGTGACAATATAAATGGTCATTAAGAATTATTTAGAGATTTTTCATAATGTTCACAACAACTGGTAAAAGTGATTATAGTAATTATCTAGCCATCTACAAACACGAGGATCAGTGAAACTGACAAATGCTCTCTGAAATCAATTATATTGGAAACAAAATTTCAATGAAGGGCAATAACTCCATAATTAAGAGGTTGCAGGCCCTATCGTTCAAACATTGCGTATTGTCTTAGTATGACAATGTTCAAATGCAAGCAAAGTTATGCTGCGGATATGAATGGACAGATGGATGGACAAAGCACCAACTATATGCTCCCCTGAAAACTCTGAGGCAGATTTCAAATTCACTACATCCATCATAATGCTCATCAAGGTAGGCAATCTCCATGTTCCACAAGCGTAAGTTTAACCTTCCCCACCCCTTGTTCCCATAACAACTCTTGTACAGTATGCAGTAGATCAGTCGCTTGACACAACAATGTCTTCATCAGTTACAATATATGTAGTGTAATATTAAGTACCCAGGTATAAACACTTTTACTCAAAGTGATATGCTTCTTTTCAAACATTTCAATTTTTCTTGACAAATTTCCCGATTTCTATATCTCAACAAGCTCACAAAGATAAACTTTCATGAAACAAACCTCTTACAGCAGTTTATAAATTATGTTTTATTAGCTGTGACTTGATATTTACAAAATTGTAGTAATTGGCTCCGTAAAAAGTAGCATTCAACGGTCAAGTTTGTTTTTGACAATCTTTATGATATATGCATTCTTTATGCTTTAAACTTTTGATATACCTGCAAAATTTTGAACCATTTATAAAAACAAATGAAAAATAATATTGAGTTATGTTACCTTACTCAGCTGTGGACTTACGTGCAGCTTTCCTGGCAGTAATAGTTTCCAGAATCTGCGTGGCGATGTCTAGAAGAGTATTCTCTGGCTGCTGTTGTTTCAGAAATGGGTTGGATGGCTTGACTTCTTCATTCTCTGTATACACACTGATGTCATTCAGCCCTAGAGTATCATAAAAAATGTACAGTTTGACATAGAACATTCAATACCAAATGTTATTATCATTATATCAATTTAAGCTAAATTCTGGACCTTTTCAAAGCAGTATTCTGCACACATTTCACCATGGGGGGAACTATACCTGTAAGGGATCACTTTTCCTTACATACTTCACAAAGGTGAGCATGTGGTAGTTACATTGTAGGGATGGGATAACTCTATTTCACACAGGGAAAGACAGCTGACACATGCTATGATGCTACTCACAAATTGATAATGTCATCAATTTTTATGCAAATTTCATCTGACATTAATGATGATACAAGGAATAGTCTTACAAAAACTTAAAAGTTTGAATTATTAATCATGGATTTGTGCCATGGACAGGGATCAACCCTTGTTGAGATATCCACATCAACCCTTGTTGAGATATCCACTAAATGGACCCATGTAAGATTTATCTTTTCATTATCTGGGTTCATCATATTGTGAAATCTATGTATCCTGTCTTCATCAGGCATTTCCTTATTACTGATTTAACAGAAATATTGACTATAAGCCATATATCACATTGTACCATAAAACCAAATAACTTCTCAGATTCCACAGTATCCACACTGTAAAACTTCCCTAAAATTTTCATCAACCTGCATCTCTTGAAAATTGTGATATTGGGAACAGGCTCTTAAATAGTGAAAACAACTGCAGTATGTGAAGGCCATAGGTTGGGGATGCAGGAATGTTTTAACAAGAAATGGAAAACTGAAATCATCAAAACAAATCTCAATATATTGTGTGGACATAATTTCTCAATGGACATTGCTTTGGAAATCCTGTTCATCCTGCCTTGAGTTAGTGACATTAGCAACATCCATTGTAAAGTTATCACTAAAATCAATTCCAATGTGTGTAACTACAGAGTAGATACATTTGTCTTTATATGTGTTGGTGACATCTACGGCAACTTTCACTCAATCGGACAAAAGGTGATCGCAATAGGTCATCAGACCCTTCTGTCAGATGACCTAAAAATGAGGTAGCTGTATAGACAGGGAGTAGATCGGTAGTAACAACATAGACAGGGGAAAAAAAGCTGGTAACTAAATAGACAGAGAAAATACAGCTTGTAACTAAATAGAGAGAGAAAAGACAGCTTGTAACTAAACAGACAGAGAAAAGACAGCTGGTAACTAAATAGAAAGAGAAAAGACAGCTTGTAACTAAACAGACAGAGAAAATATAGCTGGTAACTAAACAGTAACGGAAAATACAGCTGGTAACTACATAGACAGGAAAATACAGCTTGTAACTACATAGACAGGGAAAATACAGCTTGTAACTACATAGACAGGAAAAAACAGCTGGTAACTACAAAGACAGGAAAAAAACAGCTTGTAACTAAACAGACAGGAAAAAACAGCTTCTAACTACATAGACAGGAAAAAAACAGCTTGTAACTACATAGACAGGAAAAAACAGCTTCTAACTACATAGACAGGAAAAAAACAGCTTGTAACTACATAGACAGGAAAAAACAGCTTGTAACTACATAGACAGGAAAAAACAGCTTGTAACTACATAGACAGGAAAAAACAGCTTGTAACTAAATAGACAGGGAAAATACAGCTGGTAACTAAATAGACAGAGAAAATACAGCTGGTAAATAAATAGACAGAGAAAATACAGCTGGTAACTAAATAGTGAAATTACAGCTGGTAACTAAATAGACAGGAAAATACAGCTTGTAACTACATAGACAGGGAAAATACAGCTTGTAACTACATAGACAGGAAAAAACAGCTGGTAACTAAATAGACAGGAAAAAAACAGCTTGTAACTAAACAGACAGGAAAAAACAGCTTGTAACTACATAGACAGGAAAAAAACAGCTTGTAACTACATAGACAGGAAAAAACCAGGAAAAAACAGCTTGTAACTACATAGACAGGAAAAAAACAGCTTGTAACTAAACAGACAGGAAAAAACAGCTTGTAACTACATAGACAGGAAAAAAACAGCCTGTAACTACATAGACAGGAAAAAACAGCTTGTAACTACATAGACAGGAAAAAACAGCTTGTAACTACATAGACAGGAAAAAAACAGCTTGTAACTAAATAGACAGGAAAAAACAGCTTGTAACTACATAGACAGAGAAAATACAGCTGGTAACTAAATTGGGAAAATACAGCTGGTAACTAAATAGACAGGGAAAATATAGCTTGTAACTACATAGACAGGAAAAAACAGCTTGTAACTACATAGACAGGGAAAAAAAAGCTGGTAACTAAATAGACGGAGAAAATACAGCTGGTAACTAAATAGAGAGAGAAAAGACAGCTGCTAACTAAATAGAGAGAGAAAAGACAGCTGGTAACTAAACAGACAGAGAAAATATAGCTGGTAACTACACAGACACAGAAAATACAGCTTGTAACTACATAGACAGGAAAAAACAGCTTGTAACTACATAGACAGGAAAAAAACAGCTTGTAACTAAATAGACAGGGAAAATACAGCTGGTAACTAAACAGACAGGGAAAATACAGCTGGTAACTAACAAAACAGGGAAAAAATAAATAATAGACAAGGAACAGACATGTGTTAATCAAATAGACAAGGAAAAAATAGCTCCGCAGATGTGGGCAATACCTCACAGCCTTATTATAAAGTTGGAAATGTGTTGTTGGGGTAAGTGGAAAGTTATCTCAAGAATGGGTTGTGTAGGTCCATAGGCCAAACATCCCCAGTGAAAATGGTGATGACCGGTGATGTAGTTTTTGAGATAATAAGCGGTACGCAATTGTGGATGGACGGACAGATGTTGTGCGTGATCACAATACCCCACACCCTTTCGGGCTGTGGGGTAAAAACAGCTAGTAACTAAATAGACAGTTGTTAACTAAATAAAGAGAGAAAAGACAGCTGGTAACTATAACACTATGTGGAACCTATCTATATATATATGTAATAACTATTATCAAACAAGCGGAAATTTATAACACTACAGAGAGATGGTAACTTTATAGACAGGTGGTAGCTATACAAACAAATAGTACTTTTATAGACAGATGTAATCTTTATAGACAGATAGTAACTAGAAAGAGTAGACAGCTTTTGGCATGTAGTTGAATGAAGTGATGATTCTGTTGAAAAGTCATAATTTCACTGGGTTTTATAATTACCATGAAGCACTAGGACTCTGAAAGGAATTCTTAGCAGCTTAGTTGGGTGGTCAAATTTCTGTGCACCGATGGTCAGTTTGTAGGAGTACTTAACAGCTTGACCCCTGTAGGATGGAGGAGCATCTGAAGGAATGGTGTCCTCATAAGTAACTACAAAGAAAACATACAATATTATAGTACTTAATAAAATTAACATTCAAATTCAATAGCATATCAAATCACCATGTCTCACTTTTCACTCGTTTATATTTACAATGACTAACTCCTTCCCTTTACTAATTAAGATGTATGAAACCTGTTGTATCAAGTATTCAAAAGCATGGATGGACTTTCATGAAATAGTACACAAATACTCAGTATATGCATTTCTTTGGCTTTATTTCTTCAAAACTAATTCAAAGTTTGTTTTGAAACTGGAATTTACATTTGCATAATTGAAGTTAAATAGCTGATACTTACATGATTTTGACTCCCCAGGTGCAAGTTTGAGATCACAAAATAATATCCGTGGTTTTGAGGATAGTACTGTCAATCCTCTCTCACCTGTACAACAATACATTACAATTACAAGTAGATATTCTACTTGCTGTGATAGATGATAACCCCAGTATCATTGCTTATTAGTACCTTACTAGTTCATTATTTGTTGAAGTGTATGAAAGAAAACAATCAAAATACAGTGAAATAATGATTCTGTTAACTCAGAATAGGTGCTTTGAGTAATGAAAAACATTAAAGAATGTTTGGCAACAACATCACTTCATCATCGGGAATGAGGAAATTTACTGGTAACAATGGAAACAACAGGCCCTGGGCAATTCATTGTCTGCCAACAATTGGATTCCTCAATGCCAAGTGATAAGTTATGACTGATGGCTAATTAGTATATGGAAGGAGACAAAATAACATATTGTGGTGCTGTACATACAACACAAAATCAGTGGTAAGCTTGATTAAAAATGTCCGAGCATTCATCTCAAAAGGAATAAAATCAAGTTTCATAAAAATATTGTAACCTTTGCTGGGTACAAAGGAAGTATCACAGCCTGTAGTTGACACCTCTTCTGTGGACATCCGCTCAGAACGTATCAGGTGGACTCTTGTTTCACTGACAGAACACTGACAATGGATCTGGACACTGGCCCATGCCAAACACTCACTGACCTTTCTATCAATAAATCATTAAATAAAATAATCTATTAAAGTGATTGTAGGTTTCCTTATAATGCAGTTGTTAAGTGACGCAATTACGTGATGTGTTTATGATATATGCAATTTTGCAAATAATATGAAAACTGCACAATAAATACAGTAGGATTTTTTGAAGGCGAGTCCAGATTTATAAAAGTCCCAAAACAAAGAGAAAAAGTTGTAGTGGGGGCTTAAAATTGTAATGAGTCCAACAGGAAAAGCATTAGTCAGCAGCTCAACTATTTGAGTCTCTAAAGACACTGTAAATATTAGCAAACAACTATAATTGAAATTTCAAAAGCCTATATAGCTACTGAATTTAGCTTTTACTTTGTACAATGAGGGTAAAAAATCAACTATCATACTCTTTTCTATATACTGAAGCTAACTGACCAGTTCAACAGAGCGACAGTAATAATATGGACTTACCTCACTTGCTCATGAGTTGGTATGCTTGTGAAGGTGACGACACATTTGATGACTTCTCCAGCTAAGTAGACCGACCCACGGGGCAAAAATGCTGACACCTCAATCATCGTTACATCTACTTCTACACCATGACCAGCAACTATTCTTCACCTTTAAAACAAAATTTGGATAGAATTATATATTAAGTCTTAATATAAAATTACATTCAAATTCATGCTTTCTTTTATAATTAACAGTGTCATGAAGCAGAAATTGTAACACTGAATATAGGCAGTGTCAATATATGCATGCCATCAAAATTGTAATCTTATACTGATAATTCTTATAAATTTTTTCCAGTGGGAAATAACCAATGTTATGCTCAAAAATACAATTTTTCTATACAAATTACAGTAAAGTCTAAAAAAAAATATTCCTTCCCAGAAAGAAATGTGAGACTCATTTGGTTTATTAAAGCACCTTTTATGAAAGTCGAAAGTGTTTAATTGTTCACGGACACAGGACGCATGCCACACAACACATGATGCCGGATGAAGGATATAGGTAGGGTCTACATAAAATCATTTTTTCTTATCTGAATTGTAGTAGTAGTCAATCACAACAGGTAAAGAGATTGAGTTCATCAATTTATTGTTGACTGCTTTTGTCCTTTGAGGGCTTCTGCCAAACCCGGCCTCTTTCTCTGTTGTGATTGACTACTTTACAACATCTGTGCATGAATAACAGGAATAGTCAAGGCTGGAATGGGTAAAGCTCTTTGGAACTTCCAGTAGGTCCTGCTTTGTTGGTCCAATGATCTTAATGAGTTTCCTTTTGCATTGAATTTTGATATATTCCAGTCTGCCACATTTAGCAATGAAGTGGCATCTAGTATCAAACTAGCATTCACAAAGTTTACAGGTGGGGCTGGCCTTAGATCGGTTGAATATTGTTCAAATTGACTGTAAGTCCAAGTCAAAATCCTTGCTTTTACTCCTGCTCTTTGAATGTCCCTTGGCGTACGATTTGTTGTGGAGTATAAGAGGTGAGGTACTCCAACTTTCAGATTCTTGATTTATTTTTGCGTTGTTTAGCCGAGTCCTGTTTTGCTGTATAGATCTGCTCTTATGGAAGAGTATACAGTCCATCTACATTTCTCAATCTTCTACAATACACTGGATTTCCTTCCAGTGGATCTTGTTTTGCCAAGATGTACATGTCCTGTTGACTTACTGAGTTGTATTTTCTTCCACTGTGGTATCAGAAGGTTAATGTCTTGACTCAAATGGTATTGGATGTCAGAGCTTTGAATGAATTAATCTAGTACCAGCTACTGGTGCTGAATTGCCCCATGGTGTTGACTATTTCGTTATCTCTTATTTATGTATCCGTGTTTGAGAGCAGGACATGGCCATTGCTTTGTTTGTAGGGTGTTGTCTAATAGCTGGACTACCATGTAGTTGCCTGATCCATCATATTTTCCTGCTGGCTTTCAATGATTTCTTGACAATCTTACTTTCCTTTCTTTAGGCTCTACATACAATATACATGCCATGGTCGTATTATCTAGAGTTTGTGTGAGGTGATTGATGGCATGCATATATATCGTACAGATATTCTGTGAAATTTATTTGTAGGGCACGTTTGAAGTTTACCCTATATCTCAGGTAATAACAAGCATGTTACGCCTGTCTTGAGGTAGTGATATACAAAATAAAATGATCACATTATTTTAGCAGTACAGGGGGCTATACATTTAAATAAAACGTCATTTTCCTGTTGTCCGGACTCGAGGAGAAAGACTCGATGAGGATTATGATCATCAACAGAATAAATGTTATGGTTCACACGTGATATTTCAATTTAACATGATAAATAACTTCTTAAAGTATACGTGATCAAAAACTTTCGTCTACCTTATGACTTATGTCAACAACATCAACAGCTGTCGTGGCTTCTTTCGAAATGAGAGACCTACATGCTCAAGCTTATTCAAGACACAGACAAAACGCTTTTCGGACTGACTATAGCGTTAAAACCAGACAGACTGATAATATTTCCGGATTTAAAAATAATCTATGCAATGTTTCCTTTTCAACCAAAATTAAGTAATTTCGAAAATATTCACAATAATTTACAACCATTGAATGTAATAATTCCAATATCAAGAAGAGTGACATGCTATTCCGGCGGTTGAATTGTTATCACAACGAAAAGGTAATATCACGATAGTGAATGAATGTCTCGGACATCGTAACAATGAATTGGTGATATCACTATAGATAGGTAATAACACGATGATGAATGGGTGATATCATCACAATGAATAAGTGTTATCATGATAGTGAATAAATGACTCGGATATCGTATCAATGGAAAGGTGAGATAACTATAGATAGGTAATAACACGATAATGAATGGGTGATATCATCACAATGAATAAGTGTTATCACTATAGATAGGTAATAACACGATAGTGAACGGATGATACCATCACAATGAATAGGTGTTATCACGATAGTGAATGGGTGATATAATGACAATGAATATGCGTTATCACGATATTGAATAAGGGATATCATCACATTGAATATACATCACGATAATGAGTAGGTTATATTACTATAATGAAAAGATGATATCACAGCGATATGAATTAGTGATATTACTAAATTGGTTTAGTGATATCTCTAAGTGGAAAACAAATAAAACAAGGCACCATATAGTCTTATTTTGTTCTCTTTTGGATTTCCAACATGTCAATGATAAGAACATGACTGTATTTGGTATTCTTCTTTACCGACGTTGTCGTTAGAAATATTCAATGATTTCCGAGATATATCCATCAGAGTTTAGGAGTTGGCAAGATGAAACAAACTCTTGAAACACGAAGAACCTATTTTTAGAAGCTGATGAATGCCATTTACTTCGAATAAAAAACAATATTCAAAGTAAATATATAATTCAATACGGCTATTAAGCGGAAAACAAATCAAACAGAACAAAGAATTAAATACACCCAGCAGAGACGTATATACGTCTCTTCATCCACCAAAGGTCATTCTAGCACTTTCTGAGAACACTTAACCAACTGTCAGTTTATAAGATGACTTCTTGGTAGCCATCTTACCTCTCCAAGAATTAAACATGCACACATTTGTTATTCTGATTTACATCCGGACACGATCATCCGTATATTTTTGTTTATTGATTTGTAAGATATAAGACACAAATTAAAGACCTCAGTTTTATTCATCTTGAATATTAGATGCTCTTTGCCTCATTTTGAAACTGCAATACAGTCGTCCTTTAAAGGTAGGGCAATCGGATAATGGTGAGCATTGATGAGAAAAGAAAAAGAAATTGTGTATTGACTGATCAGATGTTGATTCAATTGGGTTTTGGTAAAGAAAGTTATATTTCCGAAAGCTAGTTGTTTATTCTTTCCTTTTTAATTTCCTACAGTATATTGTTTTGGATCGTTCGTCCTCACCCAATAATTAATGCAATACCCGGTCTCTTCATTTCCTAGAAAGTAGCAACAGAATGTAAATGTGAAGAGGTATAAACTTGCAGCATACAATATCTCTTTGGGAGGAGTCAGCACACCAAGAAATTTGCTGTACAGCACGGGAACCAGTTCTTGAGCATAACTGCTGACTTGAATTGTGGCTGACGCTTTAAGTCTGTAGTGTACTTGGATTCATGTTCACGAGAATATTGACATGGTCAACGTATTTCTCGGTATCTAACACCTCTTATATGTCTTCCGTCAAAATGTAACAAAAGTGGTGTACAGGGATGACGTTCTCAGGTTTTACGTCATACCACAGGGATGACGTTCTCAGGCTTTACGTCGTACCACAGGGATGACGTTCTCAGGCTTTACGTCGTACCACAGGGATGACGTTCTCAGGCTTTACGTCGTACCACAGGGATGACGTTCTCAGGCTTTACGTCGTACCACAGGGATGACGTTCTCAGGCTTTACGTCGTACCACAGGGATGACGTTCTCAGGCTTTATGTCGTTCCTTTGCTTGTTGCACAGCCGCAATTACAGTTTTACACTTGTGGGGTCGCAGAACGTTACACGATGTGCACACGATAGGAAAATTGGACGAAATAAGCTATCGCACATTTGTACGCACATGCAGTTCTATCGTGGTGGATGTAAACTTAGAAATGACTTATAAATAAGTGTGGGATAGTGTTTATTTTCTAAATATACAAGAAAACAACTAAGTATATTAAGCCATTAATATATAGGTAGTGTATGAACACACGTTATATATGTAAGCAATAAATGGACGTCTTTTTGTGTCACAGCAATGCATCACTTAAAATCTCAAACCGACAGAAAGGAATTTTTATTTTCCTTACTTTTGTATAACTCTTTTTCATTCGTTTTTAAAGAAAAATTACATGATGTGGTAAATCTTAGTTGCTGTGTTTGTTACACAGGCGACCCAGGCGGTATGAATGTGGACCCGTCATGTACCTACTGGTATACTTCATGAGGTGTGAAACTATATACGATAAGACTAATTCATGCAGGTCCAGTGTCATTTTGAAAACAGTCGAATGGAAAATGACTTATAATCACCGATTTTCGCACAATGCTGTATTGTGCGCGGGTGTGCAAAAGACATATGCACGATCTGTGCAGAAAGTTTTTGGTGCGTTGCAACAACTGTACCAGCAGGACAACGCTCGTCCCCACACTCGCGTACCTATGGGTTTCCTTGCACAGGATAACGAGAATGTCCTCCGTTGGCGACCTCTTTCACCGGATACGGCACAAATAGAACGTGTGGAATGAAATTGGAATAGGTGTTACCGGTGGAGGTCCATTGATGTCGGCACAGAAGAAAAAGAGTCTCCCCCCAGGAATGGAACAATTCGCCCCTAGCATTCTTCCAGACTCTTGGCAATTCCATGAGACTACGTTGCACAGTCTGTATCAATGCCCAAGGCGGACACAAGCATTATTGTCTGATTTGTTATCTTCATTACATGTGAGTACCTTCATTAAATAGACAATAGAAATTTTTGATTTTATGAAATAAAATCAAGTAAACTATTGAATGAATCAGTAACAAGGAGCCCCATGGGCTTTAACCGTCATCTGACTACAAAAACCTTCCGCAGGGAGAGTTATTTTTTCTACTTTGAATGAAATCTTACTAGGAAGCTGTTTTCCATGATGCAGATGGTAGTTTTGGTGAGGAGTAAGTAACTGTAACAAGTGTTACCTATTTTTTGACAGTAAAGTTAGAGCACAATCCATTATAGATACCTGCACAGGAAAACCGTGATTGTAAAATCATGTTACAAAATGGCCTTTCTGGCTGTCATATCAAAGTTTTCACAAGGTCCATAATATCAACACTTTGTTGGCTACCTGTCGAAAGTATAACATTTGTTGATGCTAGTATTAGCATTAAGATAACTTTCCTCCATGGTTCAACATTCTTCAGTAAACAAAAGCAGTTTTCGTGATTGCTCATGAAATTCTAAACAGACATGTATTGTTTGATATGTATGTGCAATAGGTAGGTCAGAACTGTCCTCCATATAACCCAGAACTAATGACAGTATTGTTATATACATGTATAGGCTCCTCGATCTTCCTTGTTACTTAGCATGGATTGAACATAGTAGAAAGGGAGATTCAGAAAACATGCAACATGGCTTGTACCTAAGGTATGCAACTTCTTGGCGAAATAAGATGGATAATATTCCCCCAAACCTACTGCAAAACAATTGATTTCAACAAGTCAGCATGAGAGCACAGGGTGATCTTTGCACCCACCATGGTTTGATCTCAAAAGCTTTTCCCTTCTTTTTTTTAAATTTTTGTTCTGAATGAGATGAAATTTGATTTGATTTGAACATTTCTCTGACGAAATAGTGATACTGATCTTGACCACTAAATGCAAAATGGTAGCCAGTCTAATTTTCTGAACAGTCCAAAAATCAGAAAGGCCTTACTAGGGACCAACGGAACATACATACAAAATTCATGCGAGATCCATCCAGTTCTTTTTAAGAAATAAAACTTATAAAATTTCATAGCCATAATCAAAGAAAGCAGCTTATTTACCCATTCAGCATTTTTCAAGATAAACTTTCATCATCAAAATCAAAGATGGCTACCTATTTGCCATTTCATTTTTCTGATCAGTCGCAAAATCAAACTGCAACAAATAAGGAGACAAAGTGAACCTACATATTAAATCTAAATACAATCCTTTCATTACTTCACAAGAAATACCAATAACAAACTTTCATAGTAAAACAAAAAGATGGCCACCTGTCAGTCATTTCATTTTTCTAATCGATCCCATTATCAAAAGTGCACAAACAGGGATTAAGGATAATTTTCATCAAATTTTGAGAAAAGATCAAGTATTTTCGAAGAAATAGTAATCTGACGATGGTGGGCCAAAAATGCATCATGTAATTCATTGCTGATGTGAAAGAAGATATTTCAGGAACTGAAGTACAAAATAGCCAATAGGTTCTTGGCTTCCCACAAGTCTCGACACTCTTGTTCTATATCATATCTTCCAACAATGAATTTCACTGTTATACATGATATCAATAACCCAAAACAGGCTTTATTGGTCAACGGGTATGGCAGTGAGCTGTAAAACAACAGTGAATCTCGCGCTAGCATCAGGAAGTGGCTGACCTGCCTTTGGGCATCTCTTGTATTTACAAGACAAGACGCCCAAACAGAAATTCAGCACAATGCAGGGATATATTGCAAGGGAGACCCATTTCACTACAGAATCTTTCACCCATTTGAGGCAAGATAGGGGAAAATGGATCTCAGCCGAAAGGCAAGATTAGGGATCTCACCCTCGGGGTAAGAAGGGGGATCTCATCCTCAGGGAAGAGGATTGAAGCAGGCAATCACATGGCTTGTAGAGTGTTTGCAAGATAATAATCTTCTCCAAGCAGGAAATTCCCCAATCTTTCCATCATGAGGTTGAATAATTATTTTCCTCTCACCCTGTGGCCTCCTTGGCTGGGGTGTATTTATTGTCCCTGTGATTCATTGACATGATGTCACAAATATGAAAGGGGAACTCCTTTGTCAGACATCTCAATCCTTGGACAAGACAACATGGTTAACAGGTCCAGGGTGAGGGACCTTTAATGAGGGATTGCTTCAATCCCTGTCTTTTGAAAATGTTTAATTTCAATAAATCTGTGGAAATAGTTTCTGGCTAAATGGAAGTAGTGATATGTCTTTGAAATTTAGCATTTATATTGCAAACGCTTTCTTAACATACAGGGGCCTTTAATTCTAGTGAAACATAAAGATAACTCAATTAATATGATAAAATGATATTTACTGTCTAAAAATAACCATATATGAATGTCAACTTTCATGAGATTGCAAGCTATTCTTCATGTTCTCATCATCTGTCCACTTTGTCATTCTCAGACATAGAAGACTGGTGTCTATCTAATTCTGAAATGTCATAGTTCAAAAACCATTGTGTTTGTATCAAGTTTTGTCCATGTTCAAAAACATGTAATTTACACACATTATTCAAAGTCTTAATTTAAAATGAAAATTATTAGTGTGTCTTGTTATCAGCTTGCTTCTGCGTGTCCATTATGATTTCTCCCTGTTGGTCCCCCTTTTAAGATGTCTTCTGCAAGAAAAAGATAAAAAGTATGTTTTACTGACGCGTATTTTGTACAGGATCCCAGTTTGGGATTTTTTCTTTAATGATCCTCTGTAGAGCTGACATGAAACTTTTAATAGCCTTACACAAAATACAACAAATGCAGAAGTCTGTTTATCATATCCATGCAAAATTTGACCTCTTGATCTTGACACTCGTGTGACTTCTTTGATTCTGCTCCCCACACTATCATGTTTCATCAAATTTTGTGCAATATGTGGGTCGTACAGCAAGGAACGGGGCCGTACAGCAAGGAACGAAATGATTTATTTAGTGACTAATGTTGATTTTGAGGTCAGATCTTTTATCTCATCACATGTACATGGTTCCTTAAAAAAAATTGATGAATTATTTAAAAGTTGAATATGATACATTAACCCATGAGGGAGAAATTATGCCAGAAAGTTTGGAGAAAAACCCATTTTGTTAGATAGGTGATTATAACTTTTTCAAATCTAATTGGTTAATCAATTCCCAGTCACCTTGGTGAAAGGAGAGTGTTTATCCACTACATGTTCATGGCAGGCATATATAAATTCCAAAGAGTTGAATAAAATACAACAATGGTCATGTTTACCTGTCCTTAGTAGTACTGTATCATTGTGTGTTGTCTGACATTGCATGATTTCTGTGCTAAAGTTACTGGTGCCTCCAAACATAATCAACTTGTCACCAATGACACCTACAGCCTGTTGACCACGACTACTTGGAACTTTGCCTTTCACTTCAGCCTTGTACCACTCCTTGGTGTCTAAAAGGTTCAGCATTACAAGATGTAATCTTTCAGAATAATCTCATTATACAAAGTTTAATCTAGTCTTTTCGGTGACACTATTGGTGTCAAACATGCACTTCTCAGGAAAAGTAGTGATAACAGGATCTAAATTTTACAGATCATCTGCAGACCAAACACAATTCATTAGTGTATCAGATGACAAGTACATTTTGTAATATGACAGCTGTAGAATGTAGTCTATTACATTTGAGCTGGCAGAAAATTATTTTGTGTTTAAGAATTAGAATCACTCAATATCAATAAAAGAATGTAACAAACCAAGCTTTTGATATGATGATATTAGTCTATACACACCCATGGCAAATATGCTGACATCATCAAAGTGTTGATTTTCTTTCCCTCGTCCTCCTAGCACTACGACTCTGTTACCAACAGCAGAAATGGTATGAAATGACCTAGGACTAGGTGGCATCCCTTTGCAATTTACTCCCATATCCCACTTCCTTGTCTCTGTCAAACATGTATGAACATAAATTTATTCATAGAAAGACACTATGAGCACACTTCAATATAACTTCCTAGTTACACTCTGTTCTTTCCAAAAAAACTCTATAGATCTATATATTGGGTTGGAAATAAAATTTACATTTAATCCCATATTTTGAAATTTAAGATTTCCTTATTTGCTTTTTCTTACATTAGCCCTGTGGTCCATAGATTTACCTTCACACCATGATAAACATACCTGTGTCAAAAATGTGGATATCATTCTGCCTATCCTCAGTGTCTCGTCCTCCCATGATTACCAGGTTCTTACCAACAGCACAAAGACCATGAGCAGCTCGAGGAGTTGGCACACCAAGATTCATCTGAAGGGGCTGGGACCACTGGTTAGATACTTCAACATAAAGCAGAAACTGTGGCCATCTTGGATATGAGACATTACGAAAAATAATAACACTTGGTCAGGACCATCTCAGGATATTTCATGCCAGTTTCAGCTCAATCCCACTGGTGAAACTTGAGAAGAAGTTTGAATTAGTTGTTGCAGAGGAAAAACATGATAGTGCAATCATGTTACAAGATGGCCTACCTAAAGTTTTGACAAGGTCCAAAAATACCAACACTTTGTTGGCTACTTTTCCTTAGGATTTTCACTCCAATATTTAGCTCAATGGCACCAGAGGAACTGGAGAAGAAGTTTAAAATATGTTTTTTAAAAATGTGGCCACCTTGGATTACAGACTGACCTAAAAATAACAACACTTGGTCAGGACCATTTCTAACAAGTTGGAGATCAATCCCACTGTTGAAACCACACAGGAAGCACAATGACTAAAGGTCATCATGACCCTTCTGGCCAGATGAGCTGACAAAATATAAACAGTCACTTCAAATAACTGTTTGTACATATTTGTGTATACAATGTATCAGGCAATGACATCAACTGGGAAGGGACATGTCACATTTTCTATGGTTGCATGCCTTTATTGCATGGGTGGGTGTGTAAAACAAGAACAGAAAACCTGGATGTATTTCCCTGAACAGACCAGTATTACACACGTAGAAATGAGAGATACACCTGTATCATATACAGAGACAATACACACCTGTATCATACATAGAGACAATACACACCTGTATCATACAGAGACAATACACACCTGTATCATACAGAGACATTATACATCAGTATCATACACAGAGACACTACACACATGTATCATACACAGAGACAATACACACCTGTATCATATACAGAGACAATATACACGTGTCATACACACCTTTATCATACACAGAGGCAATAAACACTGGTATCATACAAAGGGGCAATACACACATGTATCATACACAGAGGTAATACACACATGTATCATACAAACAGACAATACACACCTGTATCAAAGACATAAAGGTCATTAAACCAGCCAAATTCTGCAGCTTCCTGGTCTCCAGGGAGCTCATCATCATCATCTTCATCTTCATATTCTTCATCACCCTAAATAAGAATTAGTTATAAAATTATTCCTTAATATTTTCCTATCAAAGGGTCAAAAGGAAGTTTAACTTTAAATGAATACAAAAACCAGATAACTATGTGATATCAGATTACAAAAATCAGAAGAATAAATCTATTCAACAATCAGCATTCCTGTCACATCTAAACATCAAACAATAAAATAGGTCCTCTATTTCTGCAATTATTCAAAAATGCATTTTTTCACATCCCTGATAAAACAAACAAGGGGAACCTGCATATGACATTTGAGAAAGATCCATCCAGTACTTTCTCAGAAATAGCGGTAACAAACTTTTACTTCCAAAATCCAAGATGGCCACCTGTCGGCCATCTTGAATTCGAATCAGTCCAAAAAAGGTACAATGCACAACTAGGGACCAAGGGGAAACTGCATATGAAATTTGAGAAAGATCCATCCAGTACTTTTCCAGAAATAGCGGTAACAAACTTTTACTTCCAAAATCCAAGATGGCCACCTGTCGGCCATCTTGAATGCGAATCAGTTAAAAAAAGGTACAATGCACAACTAGGGACCAAGGGGAACCTGCATATGAAATTTGAGAAAGATCCATCCAGTACATTTCCAGAAATAGCGGTAACAAGAATTGTTTACGGACGGACGGACGGACCACGGACCACGGACGCAGGGCGATTTGAATAACCCACCATCTATTTGAATAGATGGTGGGCTAAAAATGCAATGTAACCTTTGAAATAACAGATAAACAAGAGGGAAATTTGAAGTCTGCAAAGACAGGATCTCCTTAAAAGAAAATTATCTTTGTCTAAAATATATATTACTTTGTAACCTGGTACTGTTTCTTACATCATCTTCCATGGCCAAAGTAGCCTTTGGTCCAAATCCTCCAAAAAAATAGATTTTTGTATCTATAGCAACTGACTGCAGTTTGTCCCTTGGGCAAGGACCATCAGCTGCTGGGATACTTGACCATGTCAGTGTTTCTGTGGAAGAAAAAAAAACAATTATCTTGAAAATTGAACTATATATATCTTTAGATCTCTAAATGATCCAAAAACATATCACACACAGTACATTTTGGCCAGATTGGTTGAATTATTAACCTTCCACTGAACATACATTAAACTCTACAATTGCATTTTAGTTTCTAAATGAAGCTTACATACCTAAATGTTTGTATCTAAAGACACATGTAGGTTAGACTTCCGCAAGGGTACCTTGTCATATCACAACTTTCAATTAAATTTTACATTAACAGGATTTAAATGTGAAGAGACACCTAGATATAATTATAATGCAATAGCGTATATATGTACAAAAAGTAAATAACATTATGGCAATCATTTCGTCCTTTGAATTATTTTTTCATCATTGGTGAAGTCAAATACACCAAGGTGGCCCAACCCTAAGTTACTGTTAACAAATAGATTTGATTAATTTTCTATGCTTGCGTCCAAATGCATTTACATTGGAGAGACTACCTATCTTACTAAGATACTAATGGATACTAAATTATAAACGTATAGTACAACATGATGCAGATACAGATGGCCACTAATAATCTAGACACTTTCCCTTTCAGCCAAAATCACCTGAGATATGAATTTTCGACTGTCAACTTCAGTCAACTGATAAATATAGCCAGAGTTACTACTCTAGATTACTTGAGGATAAAGTTGTCAGTATGATGTTGTTTGGCTGTCATTGATGAAAAAAAAACATCCGAGTTATCAACTAAAAAAAACTACGATATACTGATATAATTGTCCAAAAATGTATGTTTTCCCTTGTCTGCACCAGATGTTTATAGGGAAAATCAGAAAGAAAATGACACTTAAGGGTAAATGTCTGACCTGTGTCAAACACATGGAAATCTCCAAGCCAACCACACATCTGATTAAGGCCTCCAAAAAGATACAACTTCTTTCCAACACAGGACAGTGCAGCAGCAGACCTTGGTGGAGGGGCTTCATTTTTACATGCAACCTTCTGCCAAACCATTGTTCCTGAAAAAATATATATATGTATATATATTTGTGCGGGATAAGAACATTTTCTTTAAAAATTCATTAAAACAAAAACATTACTATGCTAGGCCTTGTGTTAGATCTTGGAGTTGTCTCCACTTTGACCATCAGTGGTAGCTTTAACAGTAACGATATTGGGCTCATTTGATATTGAATCGTTGTGTTAATTGGGAAGTATGATAATGGGCGGTAGTTATAAAGCATAGCTAAAGTAACAGCAAAGCATGATATATAAAGATGAAAACACCATCGATATACAGCTATAGCAACGCGTACTCCTATTTACCTGCATCGAAATTAAGCAGATCGTTGGTTTCTGTCATCTCGCCATCACTGGACTGTAATACACCTCCAAAAACGTAAAGTTTGGATCCGCATACGCAACAACAATGACCATCCCTTGGTGTAAATGGACTGTCTGTAACAACATTCCACTCCACAGTGATATCGTTTTCAATAGCTTCCATAGTCAAGCGAGATTGCAGAGGCTGAGTATTCTTCTTCTGTGTGACAATTTCCCGCGGTTTTCTTCATACAGTAGCTATAATTTCCGGAAGTAAATATGGAGGTTTGCCAAAAGTGGTTTTCTTCGACAATTGACTTCAATTTTGATGATAAACCTAATGAATAGGTATCAGATAAGCATCACTAGTATCATTTCTGTTTTGCCTCGTTATTTTAAGGATTGCGTATGTTTACGAAATTCACCGATTTTTTCGGTATCTGACCTCACTTCCGCTTGAAAATTCACAAAGACCCGACGATCTTGGACCAAGACAGGTAGCTATAAAGCAGCTTTTTCCCTCATGCCATCAATATATATTCGAATGACACTGTACGCAATATATTATTTAAACATTCGCCGAATCAAGGAATTTCAAAAACAATAGGAAAAATCTAGAATCGTGTCGATTATGCAATTTTCTTAATTCGCCGGTTCTCAGCTGACTGGAAAAGGGGTTCCTTTAGGAAAACTTGCTTTTTTTCTCCATTTTCTTAAATGAATGTTAATGTAGCTATCAAAAGCTTAAAACGTTATTATATGAATTGAAATTGCTATTATATATAGAGAAATATTTCATCGAAAGAGACCTGTTTCCGTCTAGATGAAAATAAGATTGTAAAGAATCCCTATGTACGTACCTCAGGACACAACTGGGTACTTGTGTAGTCTTGCAGTCTGCTGTAATATACGAGTAGCGTTGTTCACAGTAATATTCAAACGTTTTATATAAATATGTTATCATGTTAGTGAATTTTTGCAATGTCTAGTTCAACTTGGCCCAAGAGTTTCTCCTATTTTTTGTTGGAATACAGGGGTAAAAAATGGACAACCAGAGTTACTTGTGTTTGTATCATAAAATAAGAAAAAAAATCCAGCCAAGTTCTCTGACATTAATCACACCTGGGTCTGCAGCATGATAAATCACACTACCATGTGCAACGGAGGCAAAGAAAAATACTAATATTTAGGCGATTATGGTAGAGATGTGGCAGGCAAAATAGTCCCTATGGCTTTGGTTCTTGAAAAACTGGTTGCTTGGTTTATTGCCCTGTCCAGGGTTATTTTGATCTCTTAGTAACTGGTGGCTACTTCACTGAACAATATAGAGGAGGCCCTCCAGAGTAGTGTTTTGCCTAAGGACACTACCCTAATTATATATAATAGCACATACTGGTCTATTTCTCTGCTTCCCTAAGTTTAGTCCTGTGAAACAAAAACTGCCTCAGGGAATTTTAAATCATGCACCTCTTGTTTTCACCAGAGGTAACCAAAAACTTGCCATTGCTAATTTACTTACCATGATCAATGTATCATCCTATCCATCATAATTTTAAATTAACATCTTCCACATTGAAGATTGCTGCCAGGCAGTGGCACCAGGCATCTTGGAATCATATCATTGCTATTCGAACAACTTTGACGTTGCAAATGGCATAATGGGGAAAATTGTTAATTGCTGCTAATCATGAAGGCCTCAGAGGATTTTAATCAAATTTGGTCTGAAGCATCCTTGGAGGAATGAGAAGTAATGTTTTGTAATCAGAAGGTCTTGGCTCCCATGGCTGATCAGCAGGGCCAAAAAAAATTCAAATTGACTGAAATTTCAAAAAAAAAAATCTTCTGCTTACCCAGATAAGATAGAATTCTCTTCTTCATGGAAGGAAGTAACTTGAGGTGCTTTACCAAAATTGTAAATTTCATGACCCCATGGTCATATTTTTCCATTTCGGCAGGGGTAAATTTGATTAATGTTTTAAAAGGAATATTAAATTTTTGAGCATGATTGGTTTCTTTTCTTTGGGAAATAGTTCAAACTTGGTTTAAGTTACTGGTATAAGATGACAGTGTGTTGATATGCACGTATCTTTAGATCCTTGCTGACCCCATGGGGCTGACGGGGTCAGATTGACTCAAAGTTTCAAAGATCTTGTCAATACTCAGTATGGTATATTTGGAATCTATTAAATGCTGTTCATGGATGGAAGAGTTTACATGGGAAAATTACACTTTTGAGTGTGATTTCTTTTAATTTAAACATGGTAAGAAACCTAAGCATGGGATGGCAGTTTATGTTATGCACGGTTTGTATTTGTATTATTTGTACAATGTAGTTCAAGTTACCTTACATTGTTATAAAGTTTATTTCTAAGACAAGTTACTAGAAGAAGAACAGCATTGTAACTCAAGGCCCTTGGGCATCTTGTCTCCCATTTAATTTTCTTCAAATCTTCAGTTTCGTCCACTATCCATATGTAAAGCTAGAAATATCTAAAAATGGAACTGGTCAACTTGTGTTTCGCAAGATATATAACCTGGGTGAGCCAATAGACATCTCCAAATCGTAGACAGAAAAGCATTGCTGAGAGCTTTTGAACATGTTGTAAATCCTGTGGTATTTATTTTACAGTGTTTTAAGTACATGATTGAAAGGTTGTTACTAAGTAATAAATATAGCTTCAAAAGTGTTCAATGAAGCTATGCACTTCATTGACAACTTAATAAAATGTGATTTAGACTTTTGTCTTCTGATCCATGGTTTTGATAGCCAGTCAGAAAGTGGAATGTCACATTGCAGATCCCTCCCTTATGGGTGTTCGATTTCTTGCTTATAATTTCAATTATGAAAAACTACCGGTATTGGTTCTCCCATGATGTCACCAATTTTCAACGTTATTTTGTAATTTGTCATATATTACACAAAACATGGACAGACTATAAGGTCAGATTGGGTGAAGTTTTTATGCTCCCCGAACGTTTTCAAAGGAGCATATAGTTAACGTCTTGTTAATTTTATGTGTACATCTCCAATAATGATGTACAGTTCAGTTTAAAGACATTAAAATGTTTCCAAGAAAATTTTCTTCTATAGGCTCAAGGTAGATAGCTGTTGGACCTTCTGAACGGAAGTTGTGGGTTGTTGTGGGTTGTTGTGGGAAGTTGTGGGTTGTTGTGGGTTGTTGTGGGTTGTTGAATGTTTTAGGAAATATAAAATGATTTTTTAGCAGATTGTAACTTTATTTTGGAAAATTAACAAAAGTATGCTACCAGGCAAAAGTTAAATTGAGTTGATTTTCTAATGCTATGTTTGTGGAATTGTTTCAAGACTTGTCACCCAAAATAGTTCTTTAGTTATGACAAAAAATATATACTATTATCATCAGTTCAAAACCCAGATTCCTGTTGATTCTGCTGATCTCCACCACTGTTTATTAATTACCAACTTCAGTCACAAGCACACCTATAGTTGGTGATCAAGGGGTCAAAATTCAAACCTTTGCCATTGATGGTTCCATATGTGTGATATAAGAAAACAAGGCCTGAGGCTACATGTGCATGTGGTCATAATTTACCTTTGGGTATACTTCTGAACAAAGCTTAGTTTGTTAGCATCTTGGCTTAGGATCCTAGTTATCATTCCATTATCACTATAATCTACAAAATTTGATATATTCAGATCTGTTGTACATTTACATGTAAATATTAAATCTAAATTACTCAATCATGATTGTCAGATGTTGACAGATAATAAAAAATTATAATCTGTAGTCCTACTCGGAGGCTAAACACTTATCAGATGTAAATGAAGTACTAGGTGAAGTCTGAATCACATTCTTCCCTGTTGACTGAACACAATACCAGTATATCATTGAATGATCAGAGTATTTATCGATACAAGTTAAAAAGAAGATAGATTTGAAATTTTAATTGTCCCAACAGATGTAAGAGTGACAACAGATTTGAAACCTGTACTTCATTTGTGTGACAAGTATTTATATAAACTTTATTTATTTTACAACAATTGCGAAACGAGTTATGTTAACTTATACTAATCACTCTTGTTGGCCCGGATGTAAGCGCGCGAGGGGTCTTACTGTGGGAGGAAACCGGAGTACCCGGGGAAAACCCACGTGGTCGGGCAGGTGACCCCTTACCTTTTCACGTCCGTACCGGGAATCGAACCCTGGTCGGCTAGGTGCAAGTATTTGTCGTTTCCTCTCTCTACCAGATGTGTACAATTTGTTTCCTTGGCACTTACTAAGGTCATAAGACATTGCAAGTAGAGACTAAAAATCTGCTACATATACATTGTGTATCCAACAATACTGCTAAAATTCTGCTGGCAAACAAGGCAAATAGTCATACTGTGTAGTTGCATGTGTTAGTTTTATTGTTAAAATTTATGGTAGATAGAAGGAACAGGATTTCATCATTTAATCTCTGCTGGATCCTTATTTCAGATTTTAATAGACTGGACCTATAGATATAAATGTTACCTCTGATAACATTAGATATAAGATATACATATTATATAGATCAAGATTTAATATACAAAAAATGTACATTATATATAAATCATCTTGCTTTGTGATAGAGTTACCTAAGGTGTCATGTTATCTTCAAAGGTAAGATTTTACCTTTACAGGTATTATGTACAGGTACCTAGTAATATGTTAATTACTTATATAGCTACATGTATCCCGAAAGAAAGATATTGAATTATTTTAACAATTTGTTTTGTTTGTAGACGGAGCTGTCTGTGGACCAGCAGATGAAGACACTGATGGGCTTTGGTGCCCTTGGATGTGGGTCTGATAGAAGGTAAAATTTCAAAACTTTAAAAAACATAAACTAAACAGTACTTATCGTTATATGGAATCACTTTTTTGACTTCTTATTTAATATCTGTAAATGTTTGTAATTGTATTTCCCATGTAAGGAAAATCACAAGAAAGTTTTCTCTTTTTAGGGAAGTCTTTCTTACCATCCATGGAAACAAAACAGCATGGAAAAAAATGGGAAGAAAAAGGTCCTTCTGAAACCTAAATCTTTGAAGTACCTGCGGAGAAAGTCCCATAATTATCACCAAGATGATGGCAATCAGTGCTACTATGGAACAGATGAGGAAGAATATGTTTACAGAACGGTCCATCGATACTCGTCACCAAAATTTCCGTTATATTCTAACATGTCAGATGATGAAGTTAT